ACCTAACATTTCACTCATACCGGTCTATATTGTATAGTCTGATTTCTCAAGTATTTGGAGCCACGAATGCTTGTAATTTTCTGACTAAACCCTTTTATTAGTTGGTTTATATACCAAATTCAGTAAAATATTTTTTAAATAAACATGAGATATTGGATTTATTAGCTTTTCCATTCTGAATCATATAGACTGCTTTATTTATTCTTAACGAAAATTAATAAATCTCCTCTCTTTCTTCAGATGTGAAAGTTGTGGACAAACCTGTCTAAGCATTGTGAGACTCTTGCAGCACAAGAGGCAATAGCAGAAATAGCAAGTATATCAATCAAGAAATTAAGCCGACATAAAGCAAAACTTTCAACTATTCGTCTAATCTCAATTTCCTATTATTTATTCACAGGACAACTATAGCAGACGGGGAGATATCAGAAGTCTGGCGACATATCAGTGACAGTGTGATTCCAAGAAATATAATGCAATTGAAAATAGAAAATTGCAATAGAAAAACAACCTATGGAGGCATGCAAAGACATTTGACCCTCCGGTAGAGTTGTGTATGGCCCCCACATCCTGCAGGGCTTGAGGAAAATAACTAAAAATTCCAAAGCGTAAGATTGCATAAGCGGTCTTATTTGTAAAAAGGCACAAAACACGCCAGACATACTTAAACAGCTTTGGAAATGAGGATTACGGGTACCTTACTGCACCTGTGTTATATTTGGTTCATCAACTTTTTGGTAGTACTATAGAAGAAATTCCGGAAGGGGTATAATCATCATTCATGATAAAATACTATCATATATTTTTTGAACAACTTCAATCTAGACCAGGGATCTCAAACTCGCGGCCCCAGAGAACTTCCAGTGCGGCCCTCGAACGCTTAACAATAATTGTAATAGTATTTTGGAAGTTTTTATTTTTTATCTAAATGTAATAGATTTTTCAAACCTTCTAAAGTGAAATTGATTATTCACACAGAAAACAATTTACTAAAAGTAGTTTTGGAATATTGATTTTTTTTGTCCACATTTTGACCCAATTAAGAATACACATCAAGCTAGCAAAAGAATACTTGAATAAAACACTTCAGTAATTAAATTAAACGCAAAGTACATGAAGAAGGTGGCATTTTCGAAGAAAATGGGAGTTGTAACATTTCTGCTCTTCACAAAATTCTGAAGCACATTGTTTAATTTGTCATATTTCCATCAATACAATCAAAAAACACAATAAGCTCAGCAGTCAATATGACAAATTCGAAGACCAACTTCGAACAGAAAATTTCCATGTGTTTGTATATTAATATAATTATACAACGACTTAGTTACTAAAAATCAATATCAATAATAATTCAAGCAATCCTATGCCACGCAATGTAGTGCGAAATGTCTTGTCGAAAAAATCTGTCATTTGTTTTTTTACTGATCTATACATGAAATGATAAAAGTAACTTTTTTGCATTACTGGAATTAATTAAACATTCGTAAAGATCCAGATAAACCCATGATCATGTGGCCTCGTTAGTTAGAGTTGGTACTATAAAATCATTTCAGACTGGCCTTAGTATGCTGGTGACACAAAAAAGATGCCAAACGCCAGGACAAATGTAATTATTAAAACATTGAGTTTATACTGTAGTATTTTTGTTAATTTTAGGTTCATATATTTAGATAAGTTATTTTTAGTGTATGTATTATTCTTTCCTTATTCAAAGCTTGTTCAAAAATGATTTTGATGGTTGTACATAGAATTTTACGATTTTTTATAATAAATACTGTAACTTGCATATGTTGCAATAATAGTGGAATGCAAATATTAATATGTAATTGCATTTGAAATTGAAGAAAATAATAAAACTTAATCCAACTGTTTAGTTGCATCACAATATATGTCACAAACTAAAACTATCTTTTAAGTATACATTATCAAAAACTGTTTGCGGCTCTTTTTACAATTTTCAAAATGCAATGCGGCTCTCGAAAACCCATGAGTTTGACACCACTGATCTATTCTAGACGATTCAAGCATTGCTTTGGGAAATTATATCACTTCAATTAAGTTGAAATAATCTTGCTATATTAAATACAAAATCGTTGCTATCATAAAGGTAAACCAATTCAGCCACTCGAAATATATTGGCCTTCACAAAGCAATGGAGGCAAAATTGAGAGTTCATGAGCTATGAACATTTGTTCTTTTCTTTGTCTTGAACTTTCCATACTCCACAGCCCCTATTAATTTTTTTTTAATTTTAATTACCATGTGATGGTCATACATATCTTTAACTTGTATTTTCTGTCATGATGTATTATCTCAATGTGCCAAACTATTAATTAGTGTGCATATTTTGCTTCCAGATGACATAAATGTATTGTCATGTTTATTACCTCAGCTTGGAGTATTGACAAGAAAAAGGTGCCAGTAAATTAGGTAAAAAAAATTTCAACTCATTGTTATAATCAGAATTCACAATCAATAGGAATTATAAACAGCCAACAATCAGTGAGAATTATATGCGAAATCCCTCAGAATAAATTTGTCTAAAATCGGAGGAAGTCAAAAAATATAGGTAGTTTCTATCCACACAAGCATTTCAAGAAGACTTGCTCGAGCCAAACTAAATGAGCATCGTCAGGTGATCGGTAAGGCTGCAAGTTGAATTCAGCCCTGCAACCTCCTGCATAGAAGATAATATTAATTAGTGGGCTATGAGCTAAATTCTTAAATTTAAACAAACCTATCTACGATGCATTATGTACCAGCAATGTTACCTACGATTAACTGAATATGTAATATGTCTAATAAATTCACCTACAAAAGCAAGTTCGATAGGTGCAAACTTTGTGTTATGGAATTGTATCGCAGCACAGTTTTGTATGACACCCTCTTTAAATGAAATTTCAATGATTAAGCGCAAACATTAAAATTACTAACTTTGAACTTTGTCATTATCTGCAAAATGTTCCGCACAAATCTTTCCGCTATCGCGTTTGTAATCTTCTCTGATAAAAAAAAAACGTCTATGATGTCCAGAATTGCTCTTTACAGCTTGCCTGTTATTCCAGCTTTCCAAGTAAGCAAAACTTCTTAGATATAGAGATTATTTTGTTTCGTTACAGGCGCAAAAAGGCAGGTACTACACGTAAAAAAGACGCCGAGTAGCAAAAGCGAGCGGAAAACGGACGCGAAAGGCGACGAGAAATATGTGCATTGGAGCGTATCATGAAATACAATGTTTTGCCTGTAGTCTTATGGAGTGACGTCAGAGTTGCCTATCATGTTGTTTAATGTCATTGGTTAAAGTCACCATGACATTCATGTTAATACATTTTGTTAGTTTAAAATTATATAGTAGGAGTGTTAAAGTTGGGTTATCACGGAACATTTTTCTGGTTTAATTTTATTGTACAAATTTTTTTAGAATTTTTGCCGCTTTCCGTTTACATAAAATCGACTTAATTTTTAAAAGTCGACCCGTCAGGAATCGAACGCTAATTAGTATGGCCCCGTGATGACGTAGCAGTGAGAACTCGTCAACGGAGTTTTGCATTAGGTTAAAGGCATTTTTGGTACTTCGCAATTTTATTTTGGATGGTGTGTCGGTTCTATTGGGCATTGCAGTTTAAAACGGTGCAGTATGTTTTAACATATACCAGTATTTTAAAATAATTTCAATGCAGTGTTGGCAATGACTGTGAACTCAGCGAACTGCGGTCAATTAGACTACCGTGTACCGGTACCGTACTTGGTATTTCTGCTGAACTATTACCGGTAGGGCCTAAAGTATTAGGGTACGGTACCGTGCGGTACGGCATTGACAGCATATTCTAATATTTTAGGTATTCTTTATATATGAATTACTTAAGTTTTACACTCTGTATCGGGTTCTGTTTTCTCTTCTAAATCTATAATCCAATATTTTTTTATTACATTGCCAGTGCACCATACCTAACACCTGAACACTGTTACACCAACCTGCCAACAAACCTCGCAGCAGTATAGTAAATCAAAGTTATATACCGGTATTGACCGTGCATCAGTAATGCCTAGCCGTTGTGTAATTGGAGGTTGCTCCAACACTCATAGAGATGGAGTGTCATTGCATATTTTTCCGAAAGATCAAGCAAGAAAAAAATTGTGGGTTAAATTTGTAAAACTAACCCGGTCTGATTTCTCGTTTCAAACACACAAAAGACCACTAATCTGCAGTGATCATTTCAGTCCTGAAAGTAATGTTGAGAGAATGAAATATTGTGATGAGGGCAGCCAGAGAGTTTTAAGTGAGGTTGCAGTGCCTTCCATTAAAAGAGGCAGTGATTTAGAAAAGAAAAAAGAAAGATATGTGGTGCAGAAAAAGGAGGGATTGGTGGTTTGTAGAAAGAAATTATTCAATGACAGGTCAAGTTTTTATATATTCATATTTATCAGTTTTTTTTTTTCAGATCGCCAGTGGCTTTTCACATGATGAAGCTTCGTCATCACAGGTACAGTATTATTTTCTGTCATTTAGGCAGCTGACAGAAGGTTAGAAAACTAATATAAGATCAGGCTATTGTTATTCCTCTAAATTTTTTTTCAGCAAACACCAATTTATCAAAATTATGATCCATAAGATACTGTGTGCAATAAAACAGTTGAGCGGTATAAGATTATGGTCAGTCAAAAGCATTCATTGCAGTTTATTTTGTCAAACAGTTTAGAGATAAATTGTGAAACTGTTGCCATTTCAGACAGTTACACAGCAGTCTAAGCAAACTCAGACTTTACAGAGACGTGGAAATTACAGTAAAGGTTCAGAACTAGACATATATTCAGGTTATATATTATTGTGGAGACTGGAGATGCTTCTTTCTAATTATTAAATATCTGTTGCAGCATGCCAATCCAGCATCCAATCAAGATCAGTCGGCTTGCAATGTGATTTGATAGCTGCACCTCCATTGCAGCTGTTCAAATCACAGGAGCAAAACATGGTTGTCGACTCCGACTCGATTTCTGAAATGAATGACGACTCAAGTACAGACAGTAGCTCTGACTTGATTAGTGTTTCAGATGAGTCATGCAGTGCGTAAGTATCAATCCTTGGAGGCAAATTTTATAGACATTTTCATTTAACTTTTAATTAATTTCTAGAGAGGGAGAGTCGTACGAAACTGTTAAGGAAAAATACATCGTTAGCCGACATAAGCTTTTGCAACTCTTCGCTAGTTGTGAAAAGTGCTCAGGAATTTGTGCCGTCGATGTAGAAAGGGTGGTTGGAACCCTGGTGGTAATCCAAGCCATTTGTTGCCAGTGTGGGTATAATCGGCATTGGGAAAGCCAGGATTCCATTGGTGGTATATCAGAGGGAAACATCCTCTTGTCTGCATCCATTTTGTTTGGAGGAGTTTGTCCCAAAAAAGTACGATCGCTTTGTAACTCAGGCATAAGAACCATCGCATACAGGTACATTTTTATTACAAACAATTTGTTAGGTAATATGTATTTTTCATATTCATAACAAAAATGGAATATTTATCAGTGAAATATTGAATTAGACAAATTAATTTATTGCTGTCCATAACATTATAGTCTTTGACATTTCCTATTCAGTACATATCAACGACACCGGGATAAATACTCGCAGCCGGTGATTGTTGCATCCTGGGTTGAACAAAGAGCGGCATTGCTGGCGGAGAGGAGGGGCATGCCATTGACTATAGGTGGTGATGGCAGGGCTGATAGCCGAGGTCATTCTGCCAAATTTGGATGCTACACTATCATGGACCTAAAAACAAATGAAATAATTGATATGAAACTCATTCAGGTAAGTTGTAGTGTATATGCAAAATCAACATAATTTCTGTTTTCATATCAATGTTTACTATTCGTTATTAGAAAAATGAAGTTACGAGCAGTAACCATATGGAGTTGGAGGGTTTAAAGAGAGGTATAGATGCACTTTTAGAAGAGGGAATAAGAATTGGCGAACTGATAACAGATAGACACCCATCTGTGACGAAATGGGTTTGTGAGAATCTGGGACGAAGCATTTTTTTGACATTTGGCACATTGCCAAAGGTTATTTTTTTTTATTTCATCAGTGCCATATTTTAAATTTCTGGACTCAGTTGGCATAAAATTAATGTTTCAAAAATCTTATATATTGCATTTCAAATTTTTGAAGGTCTTGGTAAAAAGATTGACTCAAAGGCTAAACTTACTGATTGTGGCATACTGCAAGAGTGGAGGCGGAGTATTATTAACCATTTGTACTGGTCGGCGGGTAGCTCGGGGGGCGATGGTGACATGGTTGAGCAGAAAGTCACGAGCCTACTTCGTCACATCCGAAATGTTCACACAGGACATGGGAACCTATACATGGAATGTCAACATGCACCTTTAGGTGATGAGGAGGAAAAAAGGAAGAAATGGATTTTTCCAGGTAGTAAATAATACAAGAGTTTTAATGGATCACGATCCAGTAAAAATACTGTAAAGTTTTTGGTGATTGCGGTTTGTCTTATATATCACTTTTTTAATAGGACAGAGAGCGTATGATGAATTGGAGAGTCTTTTCGATAACTTTAGGTTCAAAAAAGACATCCGAAAGCTCTCACCATTAGATCAGACATCTGGATTGGAAGGGTTCCACTCCCTATTGAACCATTTTGCTCCCAAGATGCTGTCGTATGGTTACAAAGGAATTTTCTGCAGGTGAGTTCCATGAATATTCCAATATCTGAAACAGAATAACGAGTTTTAACGGTGGGTATGTTTATTCTAGAATGTTATTAGCGGTTCTACACCACAATGCTAATAGTGGAAGACCTCAGGCAAAAACAAAGGATGGGTGCCTGCAATATGAGGTCCTGTATCCTAGGGGGAAAATGGTTCGAAGAGTACGCTCTGAGCCGTGTTATGGTGAGTCCGTAAAATATAAAACGTTCGACTTGAAAAACAGAAGTATAAGTGATTCACTTATCTTTTTCACAGCATGTGTGAAAGTCTTGCTTCAGAAAGTTATTTCAGAGGTTGATGGCAGTTCAACCACAAGCCAGGGTGATCTGTCACTGATATCATCACCACCACCAACCTTGTCTTCCAGGTGTGAGAGGCCAGATAAGGAGCTCGCAAAACAGGAGCTTCAAAGCCGTTTTAATAGTTAAGTATTGACAACTAGGGCTGTGGAGCCGAAAAAAATTCACGCAAGCAATTTCGGCTCTAACTTTTCAGGAAATCAAATTTGGCTTATGCAAGCTTTTGTAGTTTTAGAAAATTCAAATGTAAATTGTTATCACTATTAAGAAGTTAAAATGAAAAGAGAGACTAATCTCTGCAAATTAGGCCATTTAAGTTTAAAATTCGTATCCAAAGGTCAAAAAATCATGTCAACCTCGGCTCCACAGCCCATAGTTCTTCAAATGCAATTTATCCGTTCGCCCTTCTTGGTTTATTTTTCATCAATTGTTTCATCTTCTGATTTTCTGGTAATTATTTTGTGCCAATAAGTTTTTTTTATCTGAAATCTCCATTGTTTCAACGCCTCTTGTTATAAATATTGGGTTGGCCCTAAAAAGGGCCCTTTTTCATGCAGTTCGCTGAGAAAACTCTTTCTAAGGTGAAGGTGGTTGAAATCCTGTGTATGAGGGGGATTCAAAAATGTTCTCTTATCTCACAACCACACAAGATGGGAGTGGAAATCTTATCTTTCTTCCTACCCTGCCCCAACACCACTCCACGAATGATCGGTAGGAAGTGTAACGGTTACGCCTGAAAAAATACAACCAATAAGATCGAAAGAAATGACAGATAAACATATTTAAACGTAACATAAACTTACTCATTTGGAGCTGCACTGATTTTGCCCCAGATCTTTGGTAAGTGGCTTCAAGAACAAAAACATTAAGGCATATTGGTTCAAATCCAGGATGATCAACAATGCATTGAACCTCAATTCCATGCTGCGTAGCCAAACGTTCCAAAACTCTTTTGACTGCTGGGGCTTCATGACAACAAATGCATGTAAAAAACTACCGACCGATCAGCTTACTTCCCGCATTTTCAAAAATTATGTACAAACGACTCAACAATTTCCTAGACCAAAAAAATTTCTTTTATTCACAACAATTTGGCTTTCGTCAAAATCATTCAACATCTCATGCAACATCCCTGCTTGTCAGTAAAATTCTAGAAGGATTTGATAAGAATGAGTATACTTCAGTATGTTCTTGGACCTTTCCAAGGCATTTGATAGTATTGACCATGACAATTTACTAGCCAATGCACCATATTGGCGTTAGAGGTCAGAGTTATAATTGGTTTAAAAGCTACTTATCAGGAAGGAAACAAGTAGTTATATACAATGATGTAGCATCTAGCACATACTGTAATTTGACTGTAGGTACTTTACAAGGTTCTATTTTGCTCCATTATGTTTTCAATCATTATTAACGACTTTCCGAATTCTCTTCTTCACTCTGATATCATACTTTTTGCTGATGACTCACGCATATCTTCGAGGCAAAAACTTGCCTGAACTTTTGACCAAGCAAATACCGACTTAAGAAAATATTCAAGCTTGGTTGTCTGCGAACATCCGATAAAACTAAATATATGATATTTAGCACGCGAAGCAAAAGTGTCCAACTCTGCAACAAATTTGGAATTAAATGGAATAAATTAGAAGAGTTAATCAGACTCGCTTTCTGGGTGTAATGATCGATGATAAATTGTCTTGGAAACAACACACCAATATGGTTCTATCGAAAACAAGGTCGTCTCTTAGTGCCATTACGAAAATAGCCAACTACTTAAATACATCTTGTTTAATATCTCTATACCACTCTCTGATAGAAAGCCATATTCGTTATTGGACACGTAGTGGACATAACGATCGTTTCAATATTATGTTGTTGTTGTTCTTGTTGTTGTTCTTGTTCTTTGACACGTTTTTAAAAAGTCGCTTTTCTCTTCGAATACTGGACCAATTGCTTGAAATTTTCAGTGGTTGAAGAATAATTTTTCGCTAGAAGGCTATTACTTTTGTTTTATTCTTAAAATTTTATATGAATCCTATGAGATATGATATTTCATACAAAATTTCGCGGTATTTATTTTTACTCATGGGAACACTGTTTTACACATTATTTCAAGCGGTTTCGCGATCGATTGTCTTGCTCAGTACTACAGCTACTGTAGGTCGGTACTGGTAAGTTCCCAATACCGGTGCCGTAACGCAGTGAATTGACTTTATTCCTTTCCGCGGTATTACTAATGCTGCAATGCAAGTTTTATAGCCTATCGTATGCGACGGAATATCAGACCTACAGTTCGGTACCGTACTGGTAGCCAGTACGTAAGTACGATACTGGTACTGTGTGCCGGTACCGGTGTCTTACCACAATGAAATTACCCGTAACTTATTCTTTTCACGGTCCTACCAGTGCAGTAATGCAGATGCGTGTAGCACTTGTAGCCTACTAATTGTTTTTAGATGAGAGCTACTGGAACAACATAAAATTTGAAAGGGAAATGTTCGTGACAATTATCTGTCCTAAAGTTGTAAATAACCATAAAACTTTGCAAAGGGAACAACTGTTTCTGTGATCAATTTACCGTATATGGCCTACAGTGTACAGGTAGATGCTGGCTGACTGCTAACCGGTACTGGTAGCTCAGTACGTAAGTACGATACTGGTACTGGTGCCGGTACGGTGTCTTACCACAATGAAATTACCGTAACTTATTCTTTCACGGTCCTACCAGTGCAGTAATGCAAGCGTTGTAGCACTTGTAGCCTACTATATTTGTTTATTTTGATGAGAGTCTACTGGAAACAACATAAATTTGAAAGGGAAGAATTGTTCTGTGATCAATTATCTGTCCTAAAGTGTAAACAACATAAAATTTGCAAGGGAACAACTGTTCTGTGATCAATTACCGTATATGGCCTACACTACAGTGTACAGGTAAGATGCTGCCTGACTGCTAACTCAGTACCGCTTGACACGTTTTTAAAAAGTCGCTTTTCTCTTCGAATACTGGACCAATTGCTTTGAAATTTTTAGTGGTTAAAGATAAAAATTTTCTCCAGAAGGCTATTACTTCTTTTTTCGCTATGACGTCATCAAAATTATGTGACTCTACGTGTCCATATATTTGAGCATAGCTCTCTTGTTGTGCCTCAGCTTATGTTCATCGCCAATCGTCCATTCTCAAAAAAATTCAAAGTGTTTGCAATCGCTTTATTAGAAGAGTTTTTCATAGAGGTAATCGCGAAAAAATTGACGACTTATTTAAAGAGCATAGGCTACTACGAGTTGTGGATTTAGCTAAATTCGAACTATGTAATATGATGTTCTCTTGTCACATTGGAGAGCTTCCGTCCAGCCTGAACAGCCTGTTCCAAGCAAACCCAAATTCAAACAGCAGAAATAAAGATAATTTTTTTATTCCATTTGTCAGTAAAAGTATTTCACAAGAATCAATCGCAGTATGTGGACCAAAAGCTTGGAATTCCCTACCTGATGACATCAAAAATTCAAAATCGAACTCAGAATTTCGTTCCAAACTTAAACAATATATATTATCATCATATTAGCAATTTTCTCTGCTTTGAACATGTTACTGTTTGGAGATTATTTTTTTTAAGGTCAGTTCAACACTGAAAGGGAGAGCTGTTGATTATTTGGATTGATGAACTATCAGGAAACTGTCCTCCTCTTCAGTCACCATAGACCAGCTGACAATTTCAATAACTCCACAGGATACTTCACCCGGATTCAATATAGAACAATGGACTGAATTAATAACTAGCACACCATTCTAATTTCATTATCATGCGTAATTAGACAACAACAAAAGCACAGCAATTTAGGTTATAGATAGAATGCTCAAATAGTAGGGAGTAGGGACAATGGTTTTTGTTGAGTAGCATGCTGTTCAATTTATTTCCATTGTTGCTACCTATCACGAATCACACTTTTTCTTCTGCTCATCCCAGGATACCATATAATTTTATTATTTTAATTTACATTGGAAAATCCATGACATGGTAAAATGGCTTCTCTTTATAACTTATCATTCCCTATCCACTGTACCTTTCTAATCTTCTGGCTGAAATGCAACCATAATAGGTTTTGTGGAAATGCTTTTTATTAATTTTTTTATTTATTTTTTTGAAACTTCATTGTTTTTGGCTGAATCCAGAATTTCAAAAAAACCTTATAATAGTGAGTCATTTGATACATACCTTTTTATCATATTTCGCCAAAATGTAGGGTCACATTTTGGCCAGAACAGCCATAGACCACTTATAACACTGTCGCCCTTGAGTGTGCATACCATATATGTACACACCCTTTAAACTTGACCATTCCCGCGTTTAGAGTATGTGGTATCATCACTCAATGGTATTGTACATTCATCCAAATTCTTAATTTTTTTTTTTTTAAAAAAAATTTTATTACTATATTCATATGCATTGTGTTTCATGTTGTGTTGTGTCTCTATTTATAGATGTTGTTTTGTCTAACAAACTCCTTTGTACAAACAGTTTTGTACACTCCACCCATATCCCTGTTACCGCATCCACCCACCCTCCTCGCACAACTGCCTGTATAAAGGACCATATTGTACATATTTGATTTACCCTATTATAATTTATATAAATCAAAGGGGTGTATGCCGCACATCTGTGTTTTAGGCCAATATGGTCTTGTGCATACATCCCGTCTTCAGTATTTATAAGTACTTACTCTTTTATATTGCTTTTACGAGACGAATAAACATACATGCATACATGATGCTGGATTGGATTGTTCAGAGCAGTGTGAACAAAAACACCTGCAAAAACAAGTGCGCTAGAATTGTATGGATAAAATGGAATACTGCTTTATTGGAATATGATTATTCAAGTTATGTTTAACTGATTCTGTATGTAAGACTTTTTATCAAACCATTACTACTGTAGTAGAAGACTACCAACACTTATTGTAGTACGGTAGCCTACTGTAATTATCAACGTACCAATCTGTATTGCCCAGACGTTCATGATGCAGCTCTTTTTTAGTGCTACTGACTTCCAGTGCAGTAAGCTCTTCAGCAGTATATTCAGGTTCGTACATGAACCCCCCACACCACCTGCAATATACATCTCATCCTCCTCATTACTGCTCTCATATTCGCTGCCACTCATCTTTGTTTCAATTTCAAATTGTTTATACGTATTTGATTTTATGATTAAAAACCATTAATGTGAACTTGTACGAAGTTGCTATAAATAACAATTTAAAAAACTGTGTCTTAGATAAATATCACATGAAACAATTTGAATTATGAAAATGAAAGCCTACCGTACTCTACCAGCGATGCGTTTGTAACATACAGCATCATCTCTTGGGCGCCTGACACATGGAATCCCACAGCTGTACATTTCTGTTCTATACCGCAATACTGTTCAACTATAAATCAAACTTCGCGAAAAAGAAATGGAATTAAATATAGAAATCAGCGGTAAATCGCGGTACATACGACGTGACTACAAAATCTGGAATGAGTTCTCACTACTACGTCATCAGAGGCCGCGTCCGAACTTGAGTCGATTTTTGATGCGGTTTTTAAAAATTCGAATCTCGAAAATTAAGTCGATTTATGTAAACGGAAAGCGTTGAAAATTCTAAAAAAATTTGTAAATAAAATTCAACCAAAAAAATGTTCCGTGATAACCCACCTTTAAGAATATATGCGGATCTTTTGTACAAATCCCCCACCAAAGAAAACGCTTAAAAACAGGGTTATCCATGGGAATGGGATGGGACAGCACATAGTTGTATTTCCCATGGGACACGAAAACCGTATGATTTTCGGAAAATGATGGTAAAACATTATGTTATAGATTTCGTGTCCATATATTTGAGCATTGCTCTCACGTTAGTTATGAGGAGCAAAATATATTCAGCATTAAAAATAGACTTCGTGAATGGACTGATGGACACATGTATAAGAGTTATGAATATAAAATTGACAAAGTCTGTAAATTTTGTTGTTTTGCATGTTTCTTCGTACATGTAGTCCTATTTAGTGGACGCTAAACCTAAATTAACAATTATTATTGAATTTTATTCCAATGTGAATCCTATGGGATGGGAATGGGACAAAAAAAATATGTCCCCAATGGACATGCCTGGTAATTATCCAGTTAGGGATAAGAATGCAGATTGAGCTGGAAATTCAAAATTTCAAATCATTCCTAAGCCTAACTGTATAATATTAAAAAATTGGTTATTTTAAAACGTGGCGTTTTTTCCTCAAATTTTGCATTAGTGGCGCGGGCTTTGTACAAAAGCTCCAAGGTGTGTTGATTTGTTAGTAAAAACATTTCTTTGATGAAAGTTCCCACTGAGCAAAATTTTCAATCCGGTTTCAAATTTCGCAGACTGCACCCTGGACTGTACCACGGTAAAAAGAATTTTTGAGTCCTTGATAATTGTATATTCTTATTAGCTTCGATTGTAATTTGATTGTGAGAATTCGAATTGAACGGAAAACGATTATATCAAACCTCGTCAGGTAGTGTTATAGTTTCCCCAGTTGAAGAATGAGTTTCGCCGTGCGAGTTCTGTAAAAAAATATAATTTGAGATTAATTTGAAAAAGTACTAAATTCAAAAGATGTTTTACGGCTTTTTTGTTAACAAGTTACTTGAAAAGCAGTCATGGTATGAGTGGAGGGAGGTTCTATGAACTGCGATGGCAATATATATCTAGACCTGGCATGGGCAAACTACAGCCCGCGGGACAAATCCGAACTACTGGGTAATTCAATCTGGCCCGCCTGATGCTGCCACAGCTAAACTGAAACAAAAATTTTGATGTTTTAGCTAAAAATAGCTCAAGGAATTTAGTGAGACTGCGGTTAAATTTAGTTTTGGCACGAGGCTTATCGTTTTCCACCTTTGCTTCGTAACACTGTAAATATTGTTCATGAAATAAAACTTATTTACGTCACACTTACATGACCCGCTAGATTAGGTGGACAGAATGTTTGGTCCCTGATTCAAAAACCTCGCCACCCTGCTAGACACATAAACTGTCATAATCTGATAAAATATGAATGAAGGTTCATGTTACTTGAAGGACAGATTCTTCCCAGTTCAGGATACCCCACACCTGCGATCGTAATCGGTATTGACCCAGTCTCAATCGATATCGACACAAACGACATTTAACAGCCTTGGCCACGTTCCGTCATTGCTTTACAATATAACATTAAAGAAACAAATGTTCAAAATATGTTTTAGAAAAGGCAGCCGGAGGGCGCCAATTACCGTATTTCCCGGCGAATAAGTCGCTTTTCGGTTCGTCTTCTTAGGCGAGTATGATAATTTTCATTGTTTGGTGTCGCCTTATTATGTATTGGGTAATGTTCTTTTATGGTGGACGCAAACGCGAGTTGAGCACAATTAGATTAAAATTTAAAGACAGTTTAAATTCCCGTAGTTATTATGGATTGAATATTGCGCTACAAGAAAACGTCATTATAGGCTATTTTAACCAATGCCCAAACGCGGCGACCGCTTAAAAGGCATTGCATGGTAATTTAAGATTCCGATGTTGACGCGATTTTACTACCCCGACTTATTGGCAGGCTTATTGGCATATGCAAAAACCCATTTTTTTATGCTTAAAAACGGGCCTCGTCTTATTGACTGGGTAAAAATATTAGCCGGGAAATACGGTGATCGTCCGTTGAGTATGACCTCAAATTCTAAAGGGCTTTCGTGATAAATTTTGTCATGTCGAAGTCGTGAAATTTCAATAATTAATTGCAAGTTTGTAAAATCCCTTACTGCCCTTATTCATTCTGTCAACCAATCTATGAAGTACTGTGCCAAGATATGTAGGCACACATGTAGCCACTTTAGTTCTTGAAACATCAAAATACCTTAATTCTTGTAAAAATAGTGAAAAACAAAATTAATTATTATTAAAATTACAATTATAAATTCCGTGAAATCGAATTTCGAAAGTTATTATGTTTTATTAGAATAATATTTAATTTGTTTTTCAATATTTTCACATGTATTAGGTTATTTTGGTATTCCAAGAAATAAAGTGGCTACACACACGCCAGGGCCGTAAAATTCCGATAAAATGTTAAAGTAGAGCTAATTACTGACCTGATATCCCATTCCTGTCCAAAATGATCTATACTCAAGCCCAAATGTTGTCCGTAGATAAGCCATCATCGAACGGAAATGCTCCACATCATAAATGTTGGCAAGTTGTGCTCTTCCGGCCGCTTTGCAAAGTTCTTTAGCGTGTTCAAGACTAACGTTGTAGGAAGGGTACACGAATGCTTGGAAGCATTTGGAATTGTATTCAAATTTGCAATGACCTGAAAATTGAGAAGGCAATAAATAATTTTATATTAATTGGGTTTCGGAGGGACAAATCATTTATCCTTCTTCTGTGCTGTAACATTTTGTCATACCAAGGTCGGAGTTCCTCAGATATATATGATTCAAATTCATCAGATTACTTCTATTTTCTATTTTTCCTTGAATCTTGTGGAACCTATTATGTATGTTCGAGGAAGTCTGACAGACGTTACAGAATATATTTGATATTATCCACAGAAAATCATTTAAAACAAATAATCTATAGATTTACTCGGTTTTACAAATATACGTTTTTTTTAATATAAACGTTCTGGGACAAATAACTGTAATTGGGCACGATTTTGGGGAAATTGATACAAAAATTATTATTTTAGAAGTTCCCCAAGAAATCCAATCCATCAGATAAGATAATTGCGTCTTTGAAATATTAACGGCGGCCAAGCGTTTTATGTTGGGGCGGATCAAGCATAATGACATTGGGCAACCGCCCTGTGCAGCACGATATAATCAGTAATCAGTAGTTTATTTTTCCATCATACTAAATTGAAACAGGGAGTCTGTTTCATTGTCAAACCATGAGACACGCTATATATGCAATAAATAGATAAACGTCAATATCGGTCGGAGACCGAAGACTTATCGATCGAAACTGCAGTTTCGATTCATGACTCTATAGTGACACCGCGTGCCCCATCACTAATTAATTATTAACTCGCTAATTATACGACCTAATTCATCCAAAATCAATAGGCTTCTGGTCCGAGACCACGCCTTCGTGAGATATCGCGTGCATCTAACAGACAGACAGACAAATACCTATAAACATACTTACCGATCTAAAGATCGATAAGTAATAATAACCCGCGGAGTAAGTAATAATAACTCGCTATTATTTATAACTAATAAAAATACATAAATTTTATGAAATTAAAGGTTTTTTGAAACTTCAGATAAAGGCTAAGCAGGATTCAGGTGTAGCAAAATAATTTACGAACTCCCCAGTCACATCTGATTTACTTTGTTTTCGTTGAAATGATGTGTTGAAGGATTAATTGCAAAGTCAAATAGTGAATTTTTTCTAGATTGCAGAGAATAAATTTTAACTTGCATGTCAGGCGAAATAGTTTCAAGTCTCGATATTATAATATTATAAATATGAGTCATGAGGCTAAGTTTGAAAAAAAATTAGGAGCTCCAGGAGTATGTGCACCAAGATGGCGCACAACCTGAACCCTAACCTGGTACACATGCTACATTCAGGTTGTGCGCCATCTTGGTGCACATACTTCTGTGGAGTTCCAAAAATAATGCATTATCAAGTTTTTGCATCTTAAACAAATAACTGGTTCAATGTCCAATACGGATTGGTCGCTGACCCGAAGACTGTTACAGTCCTTCGTGACCCCTAATCGATTGCAATGAAACCCCGACGTTATTCCTTATGTGTATATTTCGATTTTTTTTAATTTCAGTATACACTTTTTCTTGCATGATAAAAATAAAATATCTCAATGGTGGAGAGACCGTGGTTCGCTATATAATAGCTCGACTTCTACCGCAAGGGATAAATATGCAAATCCTACTCTAAATTCCGATACTGAGGCAATATTTCACAAACCTTTGGCTGTCAAGACGTCTACTCTCGCCTTCGCTGGATTGAGGGCCATTGTTGTGATTATTTCATTCATTTTTTTAATTTCCCTCTGCATTTCAATCAGTCTTAAATCCGTTTGGCGTTGCGTGCGTTCCATTACTGTTGAAAAAGGAAAAAATTAGCTCGAGTACTCGATCGAGGTGTTTAAAGCATAGTTTTCGGTAACGATGGCAACCGCATCTGAAGACTATCGATTTTTTTTGAAAGTTATGTATTTAAAGCGTCGTGGTGTTAATGCAGCTTAAGTAGTGGCATAAGTGCATTTTCTGAAATGCAGGAAACTTCTTGTTTGTGAGTTCGATACAAACGAGAGCCCGTTCTAAACATTTTGAATCTTATCACTGACTAGACTATAATTGTTTAAAGTCTCAGTTGCTCAGAGATGATTTTCCTCTATTTCTAAGTTCGTACACGGGGCCTTGCTTTGAGCAAATTCACATAAAAACAAGAATACGTAAAGGCATGAATAAGTAAAGCCGAAATAAATAAAAACTTACCTTCTTCAATCCCTTCCTGGATTGCAGTTTGTATTCTTTCATCAAGATCTTCAATTTCTTCTTCTTCGCTTCTGAGAGAGAGAGAAAGTGAGTGAGTTTAATTTTCTTCTATTGAAAAACTGACTATGCTCTTGATAGAGTCGAAAACGAGTCCTTAAACACCCAATTTGCAAATATGAAAAAGCTTATGTTGCAACTATACTTTCTTTTAATAAGGTCAAATGAATTGCATTTCACTAAGCTTAGCGTCGTTTCATAATATAATGCCAGATGTTATATCGGTGATTCAAATACCAGCGAAAAACGTTATTAAATCAGACTCCGAATCACACACATCCCTGTTGAAAACTGTGTATTGACTGAGATTTAAAGCATATTTCCATGTCTGAAATCTTGGATTAGGAATTGAGAATTATTTGTACCATACCTTAATGCTTCTAGAATATTCACATCATTTTGGAACACTTCAATACTCTGCACAGCCGGTCGCAACCTCATGCCTATTTTATCTGGTTGGCGTCTGGCATCAACATCTGGCATAAATACGAAGATAACTAAAAAGGACGTAATTACTAGTGACGTCATTGTCCTAGTCGTATCCAAAATATAAAAAAAATCACTTAGTGGTCAACAAGCATGGGCCATATCTACCATAGTACATTGGAATTTTTGTTCGGATTTGGCGGCGCAGTAGAAGGGTTTGAATTCATCAAAATAACCCGTGAACGACCGGGCTTTTGTTGAGATATTTTGAATAAGGTTGAGTTGATTACGCTTTGCTAATATTCTAATTGAAAGTTTCGTTCGGTTTCATCTGCCTATAGCAGAGGTGTTCAATTCCTTTAAATGCCAGTGCAGTGCAAATGACCAGAGTTTTGTTAGGCTTTCATAGCAATTAGGACCAGTATTTCCCCCGGCTTTACATTTTAGAGGGGGTGTTTCAAAATTTCGGGGGTGGTATCTGCACTGGCATATAATTTACTTTCTGAATATTCAAATACAATTAATTTAATTCAAATTGGGATTTAAATTGCAGTGTCATCGCTGGTTAGGACAAAGGGTATTTATAGTGGAATAAATCACGCGTCGCTAATGCGAATTGAAAAGGCCAGCCAGTACGGACAATAAAATGGTACAAAGGCATGGTACCTTAAAATTCAGGGGTAACCCGAAGTATCGATGAGTTTTAGCGACCTGATAGTGTGTAAAACATGTTGTAAATGACCGTGGTTTTGTTGAGTTTCGACGACAGTTAGTATAAACGCTACATATGGTGAATAACGCCTTTCTAGTACTGTGATCAATTCCAACAACCCAAACGGCAACAATCGTATCATTAGCGATTTATTGTACGGGGGCACAATGGGCTTTGGACTTGGTAATAGCTAAATGAGGCACGATGAAATATAGATCTTGTTCGAAGCAAGTTTCAAGGTAGAACCAAATATTTCCAAAAATATCCTATAATTGAGTTTTCTAGTATATACTTATTAAGAATCTTGTGTACAAAGCGCCCGCTACTAATGCAAAAATTTGTTTAAGATTCGAGAAAAACACCCCCGCCACGTTTTAAAATAACAAATTAGTAATTATCCAGTAGGGCATCGGTTCCCAAAAGGTGCGCCGTGACGACGCCTGATTGTGATAAACATAACTGAAAGATGATTGCATATTCTACAAATTCTATTAATTTAAATCTTTAATTGATTCTCCTTCCAAATGCTGTGTATATATATGAATCAATAAGTTCATTTCATCTTTCTATGTTGTTTACTTTTTGTCTGCTTCTATTGTTGCGTATGATTATATTGTTGCGTATGATTATATTGTTGCGTATGATTATATTACCACTATTTGCTGAAATTTCGTGATCTGCAGCCCATTTATCTGCTGAATCGAGTTTAGCGAACACGAGTGATTTTTTTAGCATTTCAAATGATATTGCATAGGCGTTAATGTGTACGAACTTTAAAAGGCATAAAGTACAAATTAACGATCACAAAATTGAGTTTTGTTTGAAAGCAGCATTTTTTTCGTGTGAGTGCGCGTGAGCTTTTTCCCTGGTAAAATGGCGCCGCGCGAACAAAAAGTTTGGGAACCACTGCAGTAGGGGTTAGGAATGATTTAAAATATGAAATTTCAGCGTAATCTGCATTCCTAACGCAAAACCTAACTGGATATTCACCATTTTTTTTTATTTTAGGCGTTGGCAGTGGTGTTGTTCTTTATGGCGGGGTCTTTGTACAAAAGATCCCTTATTAATTTATGATATTATCACCTTTAAAAATACTTAGATTTGGATTCGAAGTGGACGAGAGCTGCAGGTTAATGATCCAGAGCCGATACATTTGACGCTACTATGTCGCTACCATGATATCGGGTGAATTAGCTATTCCACACGAAATATTGAAAGTTTGATTTTTCAATCATAATCCTTGGGATTATATGCAATACCGAATCGCAAAATTAAGCGTTAATACTTTATTGCAAGTAATGAAATTCGAACGACAAAATTTCAATTTTCGAGGTGTTTATTTTCGAAGATGGAATAGTTTCCGGGCGGCGCGATGGCCTAATGCAGTGCTCTTCAACCTTTTTTATCGTGGTATACCTTTTACAATTTTTCGGGAACCTCGTATACCTTACAAATACTAATGTTAATTTTAGGGTTAAATACTACAATATCATCATGCAATCTAATAGGCTAGTGTCCAAAAGTTATAAATTCGACTGACGGCCCTCAGCGTCAAAGGGAGTATTGTTCAACGTAAATCAAACGAGGTGCATGGCAGCCGAAATCACCATTCCAGACACGTGATCGCATTATCTATTTATTTTGTAATGTAACAATGTGCTCACGTCGGTTCTTTGCGTAAATGACATTTTATATTTCATGTGCGCCGCGTTTGCATTGTTGGCTCGCTTGAATATTTTATAATTTATTATATTAGAGTTTAGAATCTCTGAATTAGGCTGTACACCCTTCGTATACCCTTTATCAGTTGTATACCTAACTTATGGTCCGGTATACACTTGGGTATACCATATTCCCGGTTGAAGAGCACTGGCCTAATGCCTCCCACTCAGGGGCGTGCCAAACTCTCCTGCTGCCCGGGGTGAGTTTTGATAATGCTGCTCCTTACAACTAACTCCAAAAATAATTCGTGGAATGAACAAATTATAGATGTTGTTATGCATAAGAATAAATAAACTAAAGGCCAAGTAAGATGGAAACGTTTGTTTTAACAAATAAATCATCAACCTGAGCAACAAACTCACATTCACAAGATTGAACACATTTATTAGCAAAATACCTGTCCAATCGCTACTTTGCTGGCAACAAATGTCTGAGCAGCAGGCACTTTCACCTCGTTAGTCAGGAATTTCTTTTCGATGCTGATCAAAGATAAACTTGACCGGCCCTGATTTGACATTGAATATGTTTTTATCTGTTTTAACTTTGAAAGATCGTTCGCAACTATCAATTGAATAGCCAATTATGAGTAATAAAGAATATGCAATGCACAATGTATGAAAAACATTCCAGTCGAGCCCAATAAACGAAGCAATAAAATCTTCAACATTTTTTGGAAACAAGCGACGCATCAGTAGACATTTTAGCAGCCATACGGAAAGTTTTTCTCGCATGATTGTAAACATTACCTTTGACATTTTGGCGTGTTATTTGTCAGTTTTCGGTTATGTTTCGGAAATTTCACTGCGGATCAAATAATTCAATGATTATTCTGTCTACTTATAGTGTAATTGCTGCTAATCAAAAACTGGACTGGAAATAGCTGTGAAAAAACTAAGCTAAACATTTTTACTGGTTGAGGAAGATTGGGACACTTTTTTTCTTTTGCATATTATGAGCCGTTAATTCTGCGTATTCACTTAAGTTGGCGGGACTAATGCATGGAGGGGTAAATGTAGTTTTTAAGAAATTCCCCTGCGACACACATCTTACTACCAAAATGCGTTGAAAAACGTCTGTCAAGTGTTGTACTATAAGTAGTATACTATGTCGTATCCAACACACAAATGTTGAGCAAATGTTGGTCAATGGTGATGATGTCGAATCCAACACATAAATGTTGTTGCAAATGTCAAGCAAAATTATGTTGGTCAAACGTTGGTCGATGGTGGTGTGTGGGAAGTTGTTATGTAATATTGTTTCCGGTATCAGGGGATAGCGTTTGGTAATTTTCGAAAACCATATCGGCAACCGTGTGTTAGTCATTAAGTTTATGGTTTTGCGTATGTTTACTGATCGACGTATGTCAGAAATAATTGATAAACGGCATTTTTATTTTAAGCGCGTTTTTTAATTTTCATTTTTTATATTTTGATTTTTATTTTTACAGTTGTTTTTATTTTTCATTACTTTTTTATTTTCGGTTTATTTTTGATAATTTTATTTATTTTTTTTTTTTTCACAAGAAATCGATAGTTCAACATATTATTTACCACAGAGATTCTTTTTCACAGACTTTACTGTTGTTTTTGATAATTTGTGAATGCAATCAGCATTTCAAGTACATGTACCCACACTACTTGCATTTTGAAATTTGGATTTCATCAATATTACGTAAGTCAGTACGTATATGTGAGTATTATACGTCAGCGAAACATCACTCTATTCCTCATAGCAATGCTCGTATTAGAAGTGAATGGGATATGATTTATTTGATTAGCTTTTATCATTGGCAGCTTTCGTTTATGTTCTTTAGCTTCCCAAATGTGTTAGTCATTAAATTTATGGTATATTTTGTATGTGTTTATATATTAGAGTATTGAGCAATATATATGAGGGTTTAAATCTTCTTTTTTGAGCCGAGTGATGCAGAGTGGTAATCTATTTCGTGTTTAGGAAATCATGCAATGTCGTAGTTAAGTTTTGTGCATCTGTTGATTGGAAACAACCATAAGGATGTACTGACTTTAGTAGAAAATTGACAACTGAGTTGACATAATTAAATTCAAAATACGTATGTTTACTGACCGACGTATGTTAAAATAATTGAAAAACGATTGTTATTGGAGGTTTAGCGAGAAATAAAATGCAACAGGCTGCGCATCGGTTTGAAAAAAAAAATTACAATATAAAACAGCTGACAAAAAAAAGGTCGTGTTTTTCGGTCTAGTCGTTTGATTTGTTTTTTTTACAGTTGTTTATTTTTTTCTCATTACTCTTTTATTTTCGGTTTATTTTTTATCTTGAAAATTTTATTTTATTTTTTTTAAACTTTTTTTTTTTTTAAATTTTACAAGAAATCGATAGTTCGACATATTATTTACCACAGAGATTCTTTTTCACAGACTTTACTGTTGTTTTTGATAATTTGCCAATGCAATCAGCATTTCGAGTACATGTACCCACACTACTTGCATTTTGAAATTTGGATTTCATCAATATCACGTAAGTCAGTCAGTACGTATATGTGAGTATTATACGTCAGCGAAACATGACTGTATTCCTCATATCAATGCTCGCAAGTAGATTGTTCTTCCTCGTATTAGAAGTGAATAAGATATGATTTATTTGATTAGCTTTTATCATATTTTTATAAGTTGCAAATAGTTTCATCGCTATTGGCAAAATATTTACCACCCTCTAAATTTCGAAACACAACCCCCCCAATAATGAAAATATATATATATCAATGGAGCATGGTAGCCAGAATAATGATATCATAATGGATGGGAAGCAGATAATAATATTTAACAAAGGTTACCAAAGTAAACAAGATCCGAAAATGATATAAATATATTAGTACAATGTCATATCACCGTAGAAGTTTTTTGTTGATAATTTCCCATACCATGGCTCGCCGAAAGTAAGGCATATCTCGCTGGGAAAATGTTAAGTCTGATTTAGAAGTAATATACTCTGCAAATTTGCAAGCAAAGACTCCACAATCTGATCCATTCATTTGTTGCGGTATATCAGACATTGACAACAGTTGCCAGTCAGAAAGATTGATCTCTGATCCTTTTTTATTCTTGTGCTCACAAAGAAGATAATTTTTTAGGATTTCAAGGCATTCCCGATTGGCTCCACCCATTGAATCATAATATCTTATTTGTTTCGATATGAAATCAACGACAGCTAGACACCAATGCACGCCAAGATGTATTGGATACAGAACGATGTCTTTGGAAAATATATCAACTTTTTTTGTCCACCGACGTACTGATGTATAAGATTGTGTACTCAATCGAGGATAAAAGAATGTATTCATGGAATGTACTGCGGGGTAATCTTTTACATCTTTAGAGCGCTGAACAATCAATTCCATATAAAAATTTATAATTTCATCATTAAGCCAATTTAGACCGAACAAAGTCGACATGTGCTCGCGGGTTATTGAAATGTTGAAACACTCAGAAAGGACTTGATTTGGAGGATATGGAACTAGTGCTTTGTTTATGTGTTCGCTCATGTCGGAAGTCAGCTCAGGAAGTGTGGGTTGTTCGATAATCTTTTTTTCTTGGAGTTTTAATTTGTTGTGTAAAATTTCAGCCAGAAGTGCATCTTTCTCTTTACGTTTCTCGTGCCAAAGTCGGGCTCGTGTTTCTTCAGCACGTGTTTGAGCTTGCCTCTGACGAACTCGACGATTGTATGTTTTAACATGTCAGGAACGAAATTTTGTGACAAATATGGAGAAGAAAACTCTTTCAAAATCTGGCTTCTCTTTATACTATCATTGAGAGTGGTTTCTGTTTGACTTTCGGCACCCCGAAGGACTAAGTTGTATATACTTATCGCTTTGTGTAAAAACTTTCACTTGAATCGTTTTTTATTTTAATTTTTAAATTTTCACGTCATTGGACGCGAAATGGACGTGTCCTTTGTCCTGTCCGATATCCATTTTGTTATTGTGCTATTGTTGTAGTTGGAATTCTTCTTTTTGTTGTGAAAAAAAAAATCGCGTTTCTCATTAACTACAAGACCAATTGCTTTTGCTTTGATTAGTTTCAAAGACTTGTGTGGTCTTTATGGAATTATTCATTCCAAAATTTTTAACTCTTAACTATATGCACATATATACTTGAGTTTTTACACCAACTTCATCTTGCAGTCAAGCGAAAAATTACAGCTTATAATTAGAGAAAAATAAATTAGTTTTTAAAATTTTTGATAAACAAAACACACTTCTCTCATTTTTAACATCCATAATACAGTATTCATCAAAAAATAAATGAAGAATCTAATTATATTGCAAAACTTCCACGCCAGAAGGACCAAATAATATATACTTATGAGAAATGCTTCGCGTCAGCATCTTTGTTTTGAATTGTTTTTTATTTCAATTTTGGAACTTCATTTTATTGGACACGATATGTACCTATAATTGCTTTCTTTTTCATGTTATTGTTACGTGTAATTTCACTTTTTGTCGCTTTTCTCTATCTATGGAACCAATTGCTTTGAATTTTGCAGTGGTTAAAGATTGTTGTACTCTAATTAATTTAAAAAACTGTTGTGGGCTATATGGAATTTATTTTTCATTCAAAATTTAAAAAAAATGCGTCAGTCTGCCGATACTGTACGATTATGATGCTATTTCATTTTAGCTTTCGTGTCCATATATTGAAGCATTGATTTTTTGTTTTTATAAGAGCAAGCAAGGCCATGCGCACCAACTCAGGAGTAAAGGAGACTGACCTCGATACATTGTACGAGTTAAAAATAAAATCTCCGGCAAATGTTGTTCATATGTCATAAAAAAAAAACTTGAGCACATTGATTATTCGACGAAATCGAATTTAATGAACAACCCCAGCAAAATCAGAACCAATATATCCTAGAAAATTTTCTGTCAGGGTTTTTTGACGTTGGCAAGATATAGAGATTTGAATTATACGTTTTTTTTTACTAAAATCGCGGCATTGGGCCTTTCAGCAAATCTTACGATGGAAATTTTGGACTTGCAGAATATTACGGAATCTGCAACGTAGAGTGTTCTATTCACTGTAAACATCACAAAGATAGAAACTATACTCATCAAATAAACTGTCGTAAGTTCAATTATTATTCGTTTTCATACGTTTTCTGTGTACGTAACTAATCAGTAGAGTAAATCCACATCTTGCAATCAAACTTGATTCTAAAAATATAAAAAATATGATTTGTCTCAGTATTATTCCGTAGATGCAAATGTATTTGGTGTACTTGCTTCTGAATCTACTTATTTTGGGGATTGCACTCAATACAGCATTCCACTTTTTAGATGTATATATTCGCTTTTAACAAACTTTGAAGTCAAAGAGATTACAAAAAATTAGTCTTAAGTGACCACTAACTGTATGCAAAAAAAAAATTATTTTTTAAAGGCACAAGTTGATATGGTATCACAAGAAGACTTGAATATTTTTTTGTCTGGAACGATTATGAAAAACGCAAAATGATAAATCGCTGATAAGAACACACTTCGGATTGAAAGTGCGCTACCGGTAAAGTTTTCTCGGATAGGATACGGTCGAACGAAAACTTTTAACTTACCCTTACTGGTATTTTTACGCAGGAACGTAGCAAAGTTGAAAATGTGTAATATTAAGCTGTGATTAAAGAGAATTGTTATTGCACATATACTAAAACAAAAAACACTCACTTGATCCTGTTGATTGCACCTCGGACGTAATTTTGGTAATGCGTACCTAATTCTGTACTTGAATGCACTGGAAAATGGAACCGTTTCAGACCAATGTACAGTTGTACTTCGCTGATTGAAATTATTGAGATGATTTTAATAATATATCTGTCTTAAGGCTACCATAATAACAGAAACAAGAGAGCAATTCCCAAATATATGTACACGTTAACCAGAGCGAAGCAATGCTTACCTTTGACGCTACCGGTACCCTCCAACAATTTCCGAGTTACTCGTAGCAAGAATTTACAGTATCTAACTGGACAGCCAGAGTTCCCATGTATAAAATAATACAGCGAAATTTTGGACGAAATATCAGACTTCATACGAAATTTAGACATAAAGAAAAGTAATAGCCTTCTGGCAAAAAATCAATCTTTAACCACTGAAAATTTTAAAGCCATTGTCCAAGTATTCGAAGAGAGAAGCTATTTTTAATGATAATGATGACGAATAACAAGAACAACAACAACATAATATCGAAACAATCGCTATGTCCATTAGCGTGTCCAAAAACAAAGACATTGTAAGAAAGGTAAGGTTTGTTTTTTCGTCCGGGTGTCAACGGATCGTGAAAGTACTACATCGAGTTACTCGTGGCGTCAAATTTAATACCCATTCGAAAACCAATGTTCTTTTCCTTAGCTACTGGACTAAACGCTTTCGAAATATCAGATGTTGAATATAGTGTCATCCTCTAAAAAAATTCACTTTCCTTTTTACATAAATCATCAGGACTTCCCGTGCTCATTGTAACACCACATATTGTTTTAAGTTGAACTACGGCGTGGTTTTTCCGATGAGCCAATTTTCCGAGCAAGTATTAAAAATAGAACAATATAACAGAGTTGAACGATGATTTAGCAAAACTTTCCACAGGTTTATTCATGTTCAATAGGCTACTGAGATGACAACGTTCATTTAGTTACAATAGCTCACTTTCATTGCATATTGCATTAAATGTTTCGTTTTATCATCTGAAAGAGAGACCGCTTTCTTTGCGCCAGGCATCGTTATAAATATCAACTTTTTTACGGTATTCAAAACTTCGTGAAGAGCCTGAGAACCAAAAATAAAATGGCAAGTTGGTATCAAAATTACCTTGACAACGAACGTTCATTATGATTATTATAATATAAAATTAATGATATCGTGGTAAGGACATTTTCTAAAGTCTAAACTATACATTGTCAGTAATCATAATTACATACCAATCAGTTCTTATTGGTGACAGCACATTTGAACCCACGTACATTTGCACCCACCGACATTTGCATCCCGGACATTTGAACCCACGTACATTTGAATTGCACCCACCGACATTTGCATCCCGGACATTTGCACCCCGGACAATTGCACCTACATACTATTGCACCTATGGAATTTTTTTGTTTTTGTTTACGGATATTTGAACCCATACTAACCCTAACCCATGGGATATACACATGAGTTCAAATGTACGTGGGTTCAAATGTCCGGGATGCAAATGTCCGGGGTGCAAATGTCCGGGATGCAAATGTCGGTGGGTGCAAATGTACGTGGGTTCAAATGTGCTGTCACCAATAAGAACTGATTGGTATGTAATTATGATTACTGACAATGTATAGTTTAGACTTTAGAAAATGTCCTTACCACGATATCATTAATTTTATATTATAATAATCATAATGAACGTTCGTTGTCAAGGTAATTTTGATACCAACTTGCCATTTTATTTTTGGTTCTCAGGCTCTTCACGAAGTTTTGAATACCGTAAAAAAGTTGATATTTATAACGATGCCTGGCGCAAAGAAAGCGGTCTCTCTTTCAGATGATAAAACGAAACATTTAATGCAATATGCAATGAAAGTGAGCTATTGTAACTAAATGAACGTTGTCATCTCAGTAGCCTATTGAACATGAATAAACCTGTGGAAAGTTTTGCTAAATCATCGTTCAACTCTGTTATATTGTTCTATTTTAATACTTGCTCTCGGAGAATTGGCTCATCGGAAAAACCACGCCGTAGTTCAACTTAAAACAATATGTGGTGTTACAATGAGCACGGGAAGTCCTGATGATTTATGTAAAAAGGAAAGTGAATTTTTTTAGAGGATGACACTATATTCAACATCTGATATTTCGAAAGCGTTTAGTCCAGTAGCTAAGGAAAAAAACATTGGTTTTCGAATGGGTATTAAATTTGACGCCACGAGTAACTCGATGTAGTACTTTCACGATCCGTTGACACCCGCACGAAAAAACAAACCTTACCTTTCTTACAATGTCTTTGTTTTTGGACACGCTAATGGACATAGCGATTGTTTCGATATTATGTTGTTGTTGTTCTTGTTATTCGTCATCATTATCATTAAAAATAGCTTCTCTCTTCGAATACTTGGACAATGGCTTTAAAATTTTCAGTGGTTAAAGATTGATTTTTTGCTAGAAGGCTATTACTTTTCTTTATGTCTAAATTTCGTATGAAGTCTGATATTTCGTCCAAAATTTCGCTGTATTATTTTATACATGGGAACTCTGGCTGTCCAGTTAGATACTGTAAATTCTTGCTACGAGTAACTCGGAAATTGTTGGAGGGTACCGGTAGCGTCAAAGGTAAGCATTGCTCCGCTCTGGTTAACGTGTACATATATTTGGGAATTGCTCTCTTGTTTCTGTTATTATGGTAGCCTTAAGACAGATATATTATTAAAATCATCTCAATAATTTCAATCAGCGAAGTACAACTGTACATTGGTCTGAAACGGTTCCATTTTCCAGTGCATTCAAGTACAGAATTAGGTACGCATTACCAAAATTACGTCCGAGGTGCAATCAACAGGATCAAGTGAGTGTTTTTTGTTTTAGTATTACACATTTTCAACTTTGCTACGTTCCTGCGTAAAAATACCAGTAAGGGTAAGTTAAAAGTTTTCGTTCGACCGTATCCTATCCGAGAAAACTTTACCGGTAGCGCACTTTCAATCCGAAGTGTGTTCTTATCAGCGATTTATCATTTTGCGTTTTTCATAATCGTTCCAGACAAAAAAAATATTCAAGTCTTCTTGTGATACCATATCAACTTGTGCCTTTAAAAAATAAATTTTTTTTGCATACAGTTAGTGGTCACTTAAGACTAATTTTTTGTAATCTCTTTGACTTCAAAGTTTGTTAAAAGCGAATATATACATCTAAAAAGTGGAATGCTGTATTGAGTGCAATCCCCAAAATAAGTAGATTCAGAAGCAAGTACACCAAATACATTTGCATCTACGGAATAATACTGAGACAAATCATATTTTTTATATTTTTAGAATCAAGTTTGATTGCAAGATGTGGATTTACTCTACTGATTAGTTACGTACACAGAAAACGTATGAAAACGAATAATAATTGAACTTACGACAGTTTATTTGATGAGTATAGTTTCTATCTTTGTGATGTTTACAGTGAATAGAACACTCTACGTTGCAGATTCCGTAATATTCTGCAAGTCCAAAATTTCCATCGTAAGATTTGCTGAAAGGCCCAATGCCGCGATTTTAGTAAAAAAAAACGTATAATTCAAATCTCTATATCTTGCCAACGTCAAAAAACCCTGACAGAAAATTTTCTAGGATATATTGGTTCTGATTTTGCTGGGGTTGTTCATTAAATTCGATTTCGTCGAATAATCAATGTGCTCAAGTTTTTTTTTTATGACATATGAACAACATTTGCCGGAGATTTTATTTTTAACTCGTACAATGTATCGAGGTCAGTCTCCTTTACTCCTGAGTTGGTGCGCATGGCCTTGCTTGCTCTTATAAAAACAAAAAATCAATGCTTCAATATATGGACACGAAAGCTAAAATGAAATAGCATCATAATCGTACAGTATCGGCAGACTGACGCATTTTTTTTAAATTTTGGAATGAAAAATAAATTCCATATAGCCCACAACAGTTTTTTAAATTAATTAGAGTACAACAATCTTTAACCACTGCAAAATTCAAAGCAATTGGTTCCATAGATAGAGAAAAGCGACAAAAAGTGAAATTACACCAACAATAACATGAAAAAGAAAGCAATTATAGGTACATATCGTGTCCAATAAAATGAAGTTCCAAAATTGAAATAAAAAACAATTCAAAACAAAGATGCTGACGCGAAGCATTTCTCATAAGTATATATTATTTGGTCCTTCTGGCGTGGAAGTTTTGCAATATAATTAGATTCTTCATTTATTTTTTGATGAATACTGTATTATGGATGTTAAAAATGAGAGAAGTGTGTTTTGTTTATCAAAAATTTTAAAAACTAATTTATTTTTCTCTAATTATAAGCTGTAATTTTTCGCTTGACTGCAAGATGAAGTTGGTGTAAAAACTCAAGTATATATGTGCATATAGTTAAGAGTTAAAAATTTTGGAATGAATAATTCCATAAAGACCACACAAGTCTTTGAAACTAATCAAAGCAAAAGCAATTGGTCTTGTAGTTAATGAGAAACGCGATTTTTTTTTTCACAACAAAAAGAAGAATTCCAACTACAACAATAGCACAATAACAAAATGGATATCGGACAGGACAAAGGACACGTCCATTTCGCGTCCAATGACGTGAAAATTTAAAAATTAAAATAAAAAACGATTCAAGTGAAAGTTTTTACACAAAGCGATAAGTATATACAACTTAGTCCTTCGGGGTGCCGAAAGTCAAACAGAAACCACTCTCAATGATAGTATAAAGAGAAGCCAGATTTTGAAAGAGTTTTCTTCTCCATATTTGTCACAAAATTTCGTTCCTGACATGTTAAAAACATACAATCGTCGAGTTCGTCAGAGGCAAGCTCAAACACGTGCTGAAGAAACACGAGCCCGACTTTGGCACGAGAAACGTAAAGAGAAAGATGCACTTCTGGCTGAAATTTTACACAACAAATTAAAACTCCAAGAAAAAAAGATTATCGAACAACCCACACTTCCTGAGCTGACTTCCGACATGAGCGAACACATAAACAAAGCACTAGTTCCATATCCTCCAAATCAAGTCCTTTCTGAGTGTTTCAACATTTCAATAACCCGCGAGCACATGTCGACTTTGTTCGGTCTAAATTGGCTTAATGATGAAATTATAAATTTTTATATGGAATTGATTGTTCAGCGCTCTAAAGATGTAAAAGATTACCCCGCAGTACATTCCATGAATACATTCTTTTATCCTCGATTGAGTACACAATCTTATACATCAGTACGTCGGTGGACAAAAAAAGTTGATATATTTTCCAAAGACATCGTTCTGTATCCAATACATCTTGGCGTGCATTGGTGTCTAGCTGTCGTTGATTTCATATCGAAACAAATAAGATATTATGATTCAATGGGTGGAGCCAATCGGGAATGCCTTGAAATCCTAAAAAATTATCTTCTTTGTGAGCACAAGAATAAAAAAGGATCAGAGATCAATCTTTCTGACTGGCAACTGTTGTCAATGTCTGATATACCGCAACAAATGAATGGATCAGATTGTGGAGTCTTTGCTTGCAAATTTGCAGAGTATATTACTTCTAAATCAGACTTAACATTTTCCCAGCGAGATATGCCTTACTTTCGGCGAGCCATGGTATGGGAAATTATCAACAAAAAACTTCTACGGTGATATGACATTGTACTAATATATTTATATCATTTTCGGATCTTGTTTACTTTGGTAACCTTTGTTAAATATTATTATCTGCTTCCCATCCATTATGATATCATTATTCTGGCTACCATGCTCCATTGATATATATATATTTTCATTATTGGGGGGTTGTGTTTCGAAATTTAGAGGGTGGTAAATATTTTGCCAATAGCGATGAAACTATTTGCAACTTATAAAAATGTGTTATGTATATGACAGACCATCTACTCTACACTGATAAATATACCATTTTCTGAATATTCAAAGACAATTTTACCGAAGTTAGGTATTGAAGTCTGGCATCACATCTGGGGAATGTAGGACAATCACTAGGGTTGCCTATTTGGGAAGCTAAAAAACATAAACGAAAGCTGTCAATGATAAAAGCTAATCAAATAAATCATATCTTATTCACTTCTAATACGAGGAAGAACAATCTACTTGCGAGCATTGATATGAGGAATACAGTCATGTTTCGCTGACGTATAATACTCACATATACGTACTGACTTACGTGATATTGATGAAATCCAAATTTCAAAATGCAAGTAGTGTGGGTACATGTACTCGAAATGCTGATTGCATTCGCAAATTATCAAAAACAACAGTAAAGTCTGTGAAAAAGAATCTCTGTGGTAAATAATATGTCGAACTATCGATTTCTTGTAAAATTTAAAAAAAAAAAAAATTTAAAAAAAAAATAAAATTTTCAAGATCAAAAATAAACCGAAAATAAAAGAGTAATGAAAAAAAAATAAACAACTGTAAAAAAAACAAATCAAACGACTAGACCGGAAAACACGACCTTTTTTTTTGTCAGCTGTTTTATATTGTAATTTTTTTTTTCAAACCGATGCGCAGCCTGTTGCATTTTATTTCTCGCTAAACCTCCAATAACAATCGTTTTTCAATTATTTTAACATACGTCGGTCAGTAAACATACGTTTTTTGAATTTAATTATGTCAACTCAGTTGTCAATTTTCTACTAAAGTCAGTACATCCTTATGGTTGTTTCCAATCAACAGATGCACAAAACTTAACTACGACATTGCATGATTTCCTAAACACGAAATAAATTACCACTCTGCATCACTCGGCTCAAAAAAGAAGATTTAAACCCTCATATATATTGCTCAATACTCTAATATATAAACACATACAAAATATACCATAAATTTAATGACTAACACATTTGGGAAGCTAAAGAACATAAACGAAAGCTGCCAATGATAAAAGCTAATCAAATAAATCATATCTTATTCACTTCTAATACGAGCATTGCTATGAGGAATAGAGTGATGTTTCGCTGACGTATAATACTCACATATACGTACTGACTTACGTAATATTGATGAAATCCAAATTTCAAAATGCAAGTAGTGTGGGTACATGTACTTGAAATGCTGATTGCATTCACAAATTATCAAAAACAACAGTAAAGTCTGTGAAAAAGAATCTCTGTGGTAAATAATATGTTGAACTATCGATTTCTTGTAAAAAAAAAAAAAAAAATAAAATTATCAAAAATAAACCGAAAATAAAAAAGTAATGAAAAATAAAAACAACTGTAAAAATACAAATCAAAATATAAAAAATGAAAATTAAAAAAAACGCGCTTAAAATAAAAATGCCGTTTTTCAATTATTTCTGACATACGTCGATCAGTAAACATACGCAAAACCATAAACTTAATGACTAACACACGGTTGCCGATATGGTTTTCGAAAATTACCAAACGCTATCCCCTGATACCGGAAACAATATTACATAACAACTTCCCACGCACCACCATCGACCAACGTTTGACCAACATAATTTTGCTTGACATTTGCAACAACATTTATGTGTTGGATTCGACATCATCACCATTGACCAACATTTGCTCAACATTTGCAACAACATTTGTGTGTTGGATACGACATAGTATACTACTACTGTGCCCCATTTGTGGGGCACATTCGGCCAGACCCTGGGGCACAATGGGTCAGTCTGCCAAAATTCAACGATGTATGCCCTTAAAATAAGCAATTAATCAGCATAATCGTCTAAAGATCGGGGAGACTTCAAATTTGAAGACTTATTATTTTTAAAATCCATGTTCAACTGAAATAGTTCAGATATTTTGACAAAAAATTTTGCAAATAAATTTGATTATTTCCTTCCTCGAATCTAAATTTGGAAATATTATTGATTCTTGAATATATTCCATATTGGGCCATGGGTCGAAAGAAACCATATTATTACACAAAAAATAACGCATCTCTAGGTCCCCAAGCACTTATTGTATCAAACACTCTCGAATTGTGCCCTGTAGGGCATGTCCCACTGAACCCCGGTCCATTGTTCCCCATAGGAAACAAATGTTTTCAGACCATCCCACGGCGAAATTCGGAAGGCACATCCAATCGCCAACGTTATGAATATTTTACAGTGGACTAAAGCTGAAAAATATCAGACGGTGGTTTGTCATGCTGGAAAGGCTAAAGTCAAAAAAAGAAAAAACTGGCACGGTGAAATTTTAGTTTCAACCTCCCAAAACCAATTTCACCTCATAGCTTGCGCCGCTCTACCCGTCCGTTCGCGGGGACGTTCTAACTCACCGACGGGCGGATTGAAACATCGAATCGCGGACAGGATTGTGGATATAGTATTAGTGTGAGAGCTGATTTTCCACTGTGCCCCATGTCCCAACGTGCCCCACCTTCCCCTACTTTCAAATATCAGGTTTACATATTTTGAATTGAAATGATCGTTTGAAACTTATAAACCAGTTTAAGGCATTAACTCGCAAAACCACACTGAAAATGAGCACCAAAAATGATGCAATCGTGGAATTCTGGGCTCAACAGTCGGGGACACATCAATTGTTGACTCACCAATCACCATCACCACAGTTAGTCACAAAAATCTAAACACCTAATGTCAGCTTCTATAATTAAATTAAAACACGTCGGGAAAAACATGTGTACACGCAAACTAAAGCTCCGTTCTGCTTCCCCCCATAACGTGCTGCCCGGGGCGACTTCCCCCTTAGCACGCCACTGCTCCCGCTTCACAAAAGGTGTAAGAAATTGGATAGAAAATCCGAACTAAGAAAAACTGCAACTTGCGAAAGGCTATCGGTACGTCAATACAGAATATAGCAATAGCTATCAGGAAATACATACTGAAAGTCTGACCAAACTCAGTGACCATGCACCCTCAAATAACACGCTTTCGAATAAAAGAGCGCATCGAAAACGATCGCATACTAGCGCTTCTTTTTCTAACAGCCGTACATTAGTCTCGTTCCAAAACCGTGTTTTATCTTGCAAACGATTCAATTTTTCTGAAAAGTGAATAAAAACCTGTTGTATCATTATTACTTATCGATTTTAATCGGTAAGTATGTTGATAGGTATCTGTCTGTATGTATGTCTGTTAGATGCACGCGTTATCTCACGAAAGTGAGATTGAATCTGCTCCAGATTTTGCATGTGCATTCATCTTATCTCGGACCAGAAGCCTATTGATTTTGGGCGAATTATGTCGTATAATTAGCGAGTTATCAATCAATTATTGATATAGTGATCTAGATTTTTGTAAAGCGAGAGAATTTTGAGACCCGCCGAGTGTGTGTTTGCGATGCGCAGTGCGCAAGTTACAAGAGCGAATGAATCGAAACTGCAGTTTCTGTTTTGGGAGAT